CAGAGGAGCACTCCTCCTGGAGGAAAGGGGCCCAGTCCTCCCTGCACACAGCAGGCGGCACGGAGCGCCTCGTGGCAGCTCAGCGGTGCAGCTGAGTTCACATTTGAGAGAAACCTCCAGCCCAGACACCTGTGAGGGGCTGGGTGTCGACGGCACACAGGTGGCCCTCGAGCCAGCAGGAGTCACTGTCCCTCTGCGGAGATGGACGCAGAGCACACTCGTCTCCTTTACCCAGAACTGAGGTTGCTCTGTAAAGGCTGACCTCTAGCCAGAGTCCTGAGTCAGGAGAGCCGCTTCAGAGATTTCTTTTAGACAAGCGCTCACCCTGACGGCACATTTCAGGGACGTGGAATGGGTTGCAGAATTTACTCCTGTGCCACATTCAAGCCGCTCGGCAACTCGGGAGAACGACAACTGCGTTTGGGTTGTCAGGTACAGTTCAGTGGGAATTACAGGGTGACAGTGAGCGCTGGGAGTTCTGGCGAGCCTCAGACACTAGGGAGACTGCGAAAGAGCCTGAGCCAGGGCCTCCTTCCTCCCGGCGGGTCACCATCACCGATGAGCTCTCAGCAGAGCTTGAGCACTGTACCCCTCAGCCTCCAGAGACAGAGCCCTGAGCTGGGCAGGAGTGGATCTGCAGCCCATCTGTGACCGAGGCTGGAGACTGACTTTGTGGGTGCTAGAAGAGGAGCGGTCGCCCGGGAGTGCAGACGATGTGGCCTCGTGGTGCGTCTGAGAGAACGTCACCTCCCACGCGCTCTGGACTAAAGTGCAAGCTCCGCACGGAGGCTCACGCGGCCCTGAAAGCCGGCTGCGTCTGCAGCACCCGCTCTGCGCAGCAGGGCCTTCTGCGGGGCTGCGGCCGGCACGTGGCTCCAGAGCAGACTGGACACAAGCGACGTACCCCGCATCGCTGTCCTGACCGCACACGGCACAGTCTCGTGGCAGAACGCCAGCGCAGGGCGCCCGCTGACCAGGCGTGTCACTATCTCATTATCTATGACAACGAGCAACAATAAATTCACGGGCACACTGACAACCCGACGAAACCGTTTTCTGGTGCTAACTCACTGAGGGTCGTCGCTGTGAGGACATCGGAACCACAGGAAAGGACAGCCGGGCGCCACGGGCAAATGCACCCCAGGAAACGTTTGTACACGGCCACGCAGACGGAGGCACGGAGAGACGCTGCACAGAGTGGGCGGGACGCTTGCTCGTGGCTGCACCACTGATCGAGGACTGACATCCTGACACGCGACGCTACGTGCAGACGTGAACGGGAACTCTGAAGCCCACACCATCGTCGTGAGACTACGAAAAGGCTCAGCGCCTCTGGCCACGGGCGGAGTGCCAGTCCAAGCGTCCTGCGCTAACATTCATGTCAGCCAGGTGGGAAGGGCATCGCTAGGGACAGGGAAAACCGCGTGTGACTGGGTTGGGGGGGATGCAGGGAGCGTGGCCCCAGGAAGCTGCCAGGGGCTCCTGAGAACCAGAGGAGAGCCACCGTGCATCCGGCTCCCCTCCTCAGTGCAGCCCCAAGGAATAAAGGGACCCTGCACACCCTCGGTGTTGGTGGCCAGCGACATGCAGAGCCAGCCTGGACATCTGTCAGCCCTGCGTGGGTAAGGAGCATGTGTGGGCCGTGCAGGGTGGAGTACTACTCAGTCAGAAAGGAGAGAAACCCAGCTCCGGGCCACGAAATGGGCGGAACTGAGGCCACAGCCTTAGGCCACAAGAGCCAACTCAGATAGCACGGTTCCCTAACTCGTGGGCTCTGAGAACAGCAGCAGAGACGATCCACAGGCACAAGGAAGCTACTGGTGGGCCAAAGAAGTGAAGAGGGGTCGGGAGGAGGCAAGGCTGAGGGAGGCGCCGGGATGCACGTGACCAAAGCGCCTGGCTCGCAGGCAGGAGAATGAAACGAAAGGTAAGAGGCGTCTCCCTAAGCCTGGCTCAGCCGCAAAAGCTAATTAGCCAGGATCATTTGGCAGCCTTTTTCTCATGGTTGATAAAACACTCAGGTTGTAGAATCAATAAAGAGGCGCTCACAAAACAGTTTTACACACTGCTGTCGGAATCCCTCCTCACGGGCGCGAGCGCCGCCGGCTCCCTGGGCTTGTCCCCGAGGACTCGTGCGCAAGGAGCTCCTCAGTGCCCAGCTCCGCGGCCGACTCTGTGGTAAAGCGTCCTGTGCACCTTCTGCCCCGTCAGCAAACAGAGCTCTTGGTGCTCACCGTCCAGGGCTCTCGGCTGCGAGTCTGCTCTGGACCCAGGCCACTGCCGCTGTGGGCGCCGCAGATTCTCTCTGCAGCGCTGGCGCTGCTCCGTGCTCCGAGTGCCCGTTTCGCAGAGCAAGTGTCGAACGTCGCTGAAACGTATCCGGCTTCTTTTCCGGGTGGCGCTTTCAGCTTTGCCGACCAGAGCCTCAAAAGTTCTGTATGTTCTTCTAAGATACTGTCATCTCGCCCTCTGCATGATGAGCCGGGTGCACCTCCAGGAGGTTTCCAGGGAGGGCCCCAGGGGCTGTGGAAGTCGCCTCTGCAGGTGGACGTCCAGCTGCCAAGTGGCCCTTGCAGATGAGCCTGACTTTGCTCCCTGCAGGCCGGGCCGCAAATGCATTCAGTTTGAAAGGAGCCACGAGGTGCCCGTCCTCTCTGTCAGTATTTGCTGAGGGCTCAACCCAGACTGACCCTGGAGGGCGTCCCCTGTGGAGCCCATCGCAGGAGGGTGCTGCCCTCCTGTGCCGCTGCCCACCTGTGCCTCTGGCCCTGTGCATGGCACAGTGAAGAGACGCAGTCCTACTGCACATCACACGCTCTTGTCCCTGGGAGCCTAGGTCGTCCCAGGCCCCCTGAAAGCTGGGCTGTGACCCTCTCCCAGCTCCTCAGGGCTCCCCGGGCACAGTACTGAGAGCCAAGGCTCCATGGCAGCACGCTGAGGGAGCTGTGGCGAGGCCCGTGGCTCTGAGTGTGGGGACGTGGCTCCTCCACCCCCTTTCGCTCCGACCCCGAGCTCCAGCTGGCGCCTGGGTCTGAGTGCCTCGGGTCCCAGGGAGCTGTCACTAGGCTGCCCAGGCAGGGTGGGTGCAGCGGCCTTGCCACCCTAAAGATCTTCCCTTCCCACACAGCTTCTCAGGTTACTTAAGATGCAAACTGAAATCACCAGAGAGTGGCCGAGAGGTCTGTGCTGGAGCACAGGTCACTGCAGGGCCCTTGGGCACAGGGGTGGCTCGTTCTGGCTGTGCACAGGCCAGGAAGGTCGGGGTGGCCCCACAGGTGAGGGTCTGGGGTGGCGGGCAGCTGTGTGGTGACATCAGGCAGGGCTGCACAGAGCCAGGCCTGGTGCCCTGTGCCCTCCTCGCTCTCAAGGGGAGTTTTCTCCTAATTAGCTCACCAGTCCTGTCACCACCTTATCCCCTGCCCCTCGGCCAGTAGAGGGGCTGCTGCCTGGGTGCCACTTGTGCCCCAGGTGTGCTGACCACCTGGCCGGGCCTCACTGTGCTCCCCTCTTTCCTGTTTGCTGTGGTCTGTGCCAGAGGCTGAGTCACCAAGTGTGGGGTTCAGGGACAAGGACAGGGAAAGACCGAGCGCTCTGATGTCACGTGTGACCTTCACAGGCAAAAAGAAAAGGCTACCACCCACCAGGGGCTACCAGGGCAGACAGGAAGGAACCTGACCTCACGGCTGTTGGGGTCGTGGGATCCACATCTGTGGCAGTGTCCCTGTCTGTGTCTTTGTTTCTGTGTGGCTCAGCCCCTGCCTCTCTAAGGGATGTTGTCCCTCTTCATGGCTGGCTCCCAGCAACTCTGGGCCTGGGGAGCGCTCTACACATAACTGGGCACACCTGGTGGGAAGACCACCTGCAGAGGGACTCACCTGCTGTCACAGGGAACACCTGCAGCTGCCCAGCGCAGGCCAAATCCTACAAATGCTGCCCAGAATGGCCCGCCTCACCCAGAGCAGGGCTGTCTGGTGTCCCCCACCCCATCCCACCCCATGGGGCAGCCAGCAGCCGAAGCCTAACCTGTATGCTTTTTTTTTTTTTTTTTTTTGGTGGAACCGGGATTGAACTCAGGCCTTTGTGCTTGCCAGGCAAGCGCTTATTGTACTGAGCCATCTCCCCGGCCCCTAGGATGCACCTTGTGCTCTGTCCAACCGGTTCTGGAGACCCATCCGCGGACGCCGCTGAGACTTCCTGTGGTAAAGGTTCTTCAGTGGTCTTTGGTCTGGGCTCTCCGTGGCTTCCCTCGCCCATCGCCCATCGCCTACTGAAAGGTGACTTCGTAATTGCAGACACGGATAGCAGTCCTGCTGTAAGCTTCGGGGACGCGCCTCAGTGCGACGCCCACGCTAACCGCGTCGTGCTGCGTGCTTGGACATTCGCCACGAGGATCAGTCTCGCAGGAAGTGTGCTCGCTATGAAGGGGCGGCGCAGAGGCTTGGGAGGTGCCAATGCGTGGCTGCTTGCATACACCAAATCCATCAAATTGTACGCATTAAATATACCAGTAGTGGTTGCATCAAGCATCCTCTTTAAAAAAGAAAACACAGCTGCATAATTCTTTAAGAACATCTGAGACTCTAACTGCAGAGGAGATTCCCAGGAGGTGGAACGACGGCGTCAAAGGTACGACGCGGGAGCTTATTTACGCAGCACTTCGCCGCGCCGACGGCCGCCCCGCGCCCGGGGCTCCGCCCCTCCCGGCCGCCGCCCGCCGCCAGGACCGCCCCGCAGGGCGCGCTTGCGGTCCGGCGCCGCGCTTTCGTCACGCGCCGCCCGTGGAGACGCAGTTAAAAAATTCGTCAGGCCCAGAACCCGACCACCGTCGTGGCGGCGCGCTCGGTGTGGGCCCGGGCCTGCGTGTTTTCCCCGCCTCCAGGCGCTCGCAGCCGTGGCGAATCTGCCGCCGCCGCGCGCCGGAAGCGCGGCCCTGCGCCGGAAGCGGCTCTTCCCCCATTTTGCGGCCCCCATGGCGGCGGCGCTGCGGCTGTGGCGGGGGAGCGGAGGGCCTAACTGAGGGCTAGGCCGGGCGCGGGGCGGGCGCGCGGCTCAGCGGAGGACCGGCCGCACGCCGGGACGCGGTCATGTACGGCGCGGGAGGCGGCCGCGCCAAGCCCGAGAGGAAGGGCGGCGCGAAGGAGGAGGCCGGGCCCGGCGGCGCGGGCGCGGGCGGCAGCCGGGTGGAGCTGCTGGTCTTCGGCTACGCGTGCAAGCTGTTCCGGGACGACGAGCGCGCCCTGGCCCAGGAGCAGGGACAGCACCTCATCCCCTGGATGGGGGACGCCAAGATCCTCATCGACAGGTCGGTTCCTCCCCCGCCCGCCGCCTCTCCCCTCCCTCGCCCGCTCCGCCTCGCCGGACGTTGACGCGGCGCCGGGCCCGACCGGCGCGACCCGACCGGGGCGCGGCTCTGCGGGAGGACCGCCGGGCGGGAGCCGGGCGCTGAGCCCCGGCCCTGGGACCCGAAGCCGGCCGGGCGGACTCGGCCGGCGGACCTGCCCGCGCGGGCCGCGCTCCTGGGGCCGGTGTCGCTGTCGCTGCAGCCGAAGGGTGGAGCCGGACTCCCCGCGTTCCGTCTCCTCTCAAATCACGCCCGATTTAGGCCATTCCTCCGGGGCGTTCCGCGGTGGTGGGCTCGGGCCGAGGGGCCGGATGGGGCTTCCTAAGGTGCTTGATTTGGAAAGGATGACTTTACGTGATGTAGGTTGTTTGCTCCCCCGCTTACTTTTCAGTCCCCCCTTGTTCCTTCTCCCGCTGAGGTTTGGGATTTTTTGCCAGTTGGGCAACACTCCTTCTGGGGCCCGGACTGAAAGGCTAACAGTGACCAGCCACTAAGCTGTGGAATAGTCTCCAAGGGAAAGAAGCCCGTCGCTTGAGACAATTAAAGCTGGATTCTGCAAGCCCTGGACCATGACTGTAGGGCTGACCTCTGAGCTGGCCAGAGTGGACTCCTTAATGGCCAGATAGGCCTTTGCCAACCCTCATGTTTCCACCGGCAGGTGGACCTGGGAAGCAAGGACTCCTGGAGGGAGGGGAACTGATGAGGTCCGCCCTGGGCCCAGCGGCTTCAGCCCTGCCCGAATGCTGAGCCCTGAGCCGCCACGGTTTATTGCAAATGATGCCGCCTGAGTTACAGGCTCGCTTTCCAGAGTGTGTCTCACCCCTTGTATCACTAACTCTGAACCTGATACAGTTTCGTATCATTCTGTACGTGGTTTGAGTCAGGTCTCCCACATCTGGTGGGGAGCAAACGCTACACATGTACGACACGTGTAGTATTTTCAAACAATAATCTACATTTGTAAGTTAAGGAGGTTTACGTCAGAGTAAAACTGATTTTTAAATTTAATAAAATTCAGTGCTTGGGTTCCTTGGTTATGACCTTTTTTTCCTATAAAAACCTTTTTTTTTTCTGTTAGATTGGTTCCTATTTCAAAAGTCTGCGCTGATAAATTAAGTGGACTTTTGTCACTTCACATGTGCTTTTGCAACTCAAAACACGAGGGTTTTTAAAAACATTTACAGACTCGTTATCGGATAGTTATATGTTGTCAGGACCTTCATCGACTCTTTCACGTTGAAGCGTAGCAGAAAAGTGCTCTTACTTTCAGTTTGGGACTTCATGGTCCACGCAAGAAGGTTGATCTTCGCTGGCTTTGTTTGCTGGGGTACAGTTTAGACGGCAGTAGCATCTTCCAGTGGCTCTGCCCGCCGTGAACCTCCTTAAACTGCATGTACGTGTTACTGTTCCTTTGTATGTGTGTCTCTCTACCACATAACCCAGCACTTCTTTCCTCAGCCAAGTGGCTAGGGGCGAGCCTAGCCAAGATTTTACCTCCAATGGACGCAAGTGTCTTTGATGAAGATCTCTCCTGAGCGTTCGGGACTAGCAGAAAGAAGCGAGGAAATTTCGACCGTTTGGTTCTTACGGATAGGTATTTATGTATTTGGTTTGTGTGAATGTAAGCTATAATATTTAACTCTTCAGAAAAAAGTTTGTTTTTTTTGTTATTATTTTTGTTTGTTTGTTTTTTACAAGTGTCGTTGAATGGTTGACCCAACCACACACGGTAAGAGCTGCTAGGGAGGCAGATGCCATTTATGACAGAAGGACTGTCCGTCTTAGTTATTAGCCTTAAAGCACTATGAAACAATTCAGGCTTTGTTAAGATAATGTGAGTTTAGACGTAGGTGAGAAATGCCTAGCTATGTTAAATATAAGTCTGGGAAGAGTTTGACATTTGTTTTAATACATTTATTTCATTATTTTAATTGGTAAGTATACACCTAGTGTGTCACAGGCCACCAGCCATGGCGGTAACTTCTGTCCACTGACCAGCATATTCGCATTACAGATATGATGGGCGCGGTCACCTGCATGACCTCTCTGCGTACGATGCCGAGTATGCCACTTGGAACAGAGACTATCAGCTGTCGGAAGAGGAGGCGCGGGTAGAGGCGCTGTGTGATGAAGAGAGGTATTTAGCCTTGCATACGGACTTGCTTGAGGAGGAGGCAAGGCAAGGTACTGCTCAAGAAAGACTTACTTCAGCCACAACTTTTTACAATTTTAAGTATTTAAAAATTTACTCCCATTCATTTTTTTATACTCACTCTTTCTGATATTATCTTGACAGTACCCAGTGGATTGGAAAAACAGGAGTCTTTGCGTTCTGAGAGGACCTCAGGATAGTTTATATATAGAGCCACAAAGAATTTTCCCAGCTTTTGAGGGCAGACTGGGATTTGAAAAAACAAAAACCAAACTCTTTAACTGTTCTTCTTTAACAGTATCGTATGAATTAAAATTGATGTTTTTGTCTTTGCCTTAACAATCTTTAATACAGTTCTTAATCCCAAAGTTTTCTTGGCAGGAAGAAATATTCCACAAAAGATGTGTATTCTGCTGTCTGTGGTAAACATGTCCTGGCCAAAGTGCATATTGATAACTCTGAAGTGTGTGTGTTGAGGGACACTTGTACCTCAAAAAGAGGTCGAAGACAGTGTGTTGTGTGCTTTACTGACCGATAGCACAACTTTAGAGATATATGGAATTTTTTTGAATAAATTTTTTTTTTTTTTTAATAAAATTCTTGTTTTTATTCAAGAGGAAGAGTACAAGCGGTTGAGTGAAGCCCTGGCTGAGGATGGGAACTACAGCGCTGTGGGGTTCACTTATGGCAGCGACTACTACGACCCGTCAGAGCCCACGGAGGAGGAGGAGCCTTCAAAGCAGAGAGGTGAGAGATGAGCGCACCTGGCTCATTGGTGGGTGTTCGTCACTTTTCTCTTGTTGCTGGGACAAAATACCCAATACGTAAATTAAAAAAGGAAAGGTTTCTGTAGCTCACAGTTTGTGGAAGTTTTTGTCTGTACTAAGCTGGTTCCAAGGCAGAGTAGCACATGGCAGAGGGCAGCCGTTCGTGGTGATGGGAAGCAGCAAAACAGCAAGAGCAAAGGGAGGAGCAGCAGAAGCCTCTTTCCCTCCCTCCTGGTGCACTCAGGCTGCCCCCAGGGTGTGTGCAACACTCGCACCCATAATCCCAGCTTCGATCTTGAGTTAATCACAAACTCTAGGAGCCCATCCGTGACTGTATGAGGCTTTGGGAGGACACCTAGACAAACTCTAATAGCGGGCACAGGTGGCAGTGGCCCTGCCACGTCTGGACCCTGGAAGAGATGACTAATGGGTGGAGGGGAATTTAGACCCACATTGCCTTTTCATGTGTCCCTTTTCAGTTCGGGGGACAGTGAGGTGTCCCTTCGACTCTTCGTTCCTGGACTGGTGACATCCTCGTCAGTGTCTTCCATGGTTCGTCCTGAGGCACTGATAGGGTAGGCACTGGCTAGGATAGGTTAGCACTACCTGTCCCACACATAGCCTGCTTCTGCGTCTCTCCTCCACAGCTGTGATAGCAGGTGCTGGGGAATACCTAAGAGGTGGTTATTGCTAAGTAGAAAGCAGAACAAGACTTTTCCCACTGCTGGGGAATTGAACCTAGGGCCTTTGTGAGCTAAATTCCCTAGCTTTGTTGTTTATTGCTGCTGCTGTTGTTATGCCTTTGTTTTTTGAGGGGTTGTTGTTGTTTTGTTGGGGGCCTTGATTTGGTTTGAGATAGGGTCTTTTTTTATTTTTTAAGAGAATAAGAATTGGTTAAATTAAAAAAAAAAGAATTGGTTAAATAAGTAAAACAGAAGCTGTGCAAAATTTCACTAAACAAATGGTAGGAATCCAGCAAGTATTGCTATATTGTATACCGTTTTCTTCACATCAGATTGCCAGATATAAATAAGCAGGCACGGGGCCGGGGAGACAGCTCAGTGGAATAAGCGCTTCCTTGGCAAGCGCAAGGACCTGCGTTCAATCCCCAGTTCTGCAAAAAAATAAATAAATAAGCAAGCATGCAAAAACTGGTAATTGAGAAATTGAAAAGAGGAAAAAATCAAGCATTAAGTGCTCTTTGAATAGTTCGGCAGAAATTAGGGGTACAATTATCTAAGTTTTCCTGTGTATATACTCACATATTGCTTTTCCTGCCTTCTTTTCTCCTTCCCTCATTCCAGTTGTTCCTTCCCTTTGAGCAGTTCCTTCCTTTTTACAGTATCTACCGATCCTTTCAGATTTTATTTACTCTTTCAGGTTCTTAGGCTCCGGAGACAGAACAATGTTTACACGTGTAGGTCTGATTTATGTCACTTGTGATTCTGGTCTCTAGTTACATCCATTTACATATAAAAGCTTCAAGTTTCTTTTTTTATAGCTCAGTAACACTCCATTGTATAAAAATATCACATCTTTTTTATTCATTCCTCAGTTGATAGGCATTTGTGTTCTTTCTAAGATTTCTGTGACAGATTGCACTGCTACAAACATGGGTGCACATGTATCACTGTGGTCTGATGCTTTCAGTTCTTCTGGAAAAATACCCAGGAGGGGAATAGCTGGGTTGAGTGGGACCTCCAATCCTAGTTTTTT